CATGCTTTGCCGTCTCTTCTCGCTCTCATTTGCGTATGTTAGCCACCATATGTGCTAGTCGCTTGCTGCAGCTCCACCTCATACCTTTTACCCTACCCATAAGCTTAAATAGTCTTGATCGCGAGGGTGTGAGATTGCTGAGTCCCCCGTGACTCACAGATAATTCCAAAACCAGCTTGCAGGTGCCGAGGATACCATGCAGATGACGCAACCAAGCTCAAGGAGGAGCTCGATGAAGCTTGTCCTTTGTGTTGTTTCATTCTAGTTGATTAGTAGTGGAGCCCAGTCGGGATGATCGGGGATCTGTGTAGCATTTGGGGTAGTCTTCTTTTATTTTGGTTCCATAGTTGGACCTTGTGTGTATTTGGATGATGTAATGCTTTAATCATGTAGCTGTGTGAAGTGGCGATTGTAAGCCAACTATGTATCTCTTTCCCTTATGTATTACATGGGTTGTTTGCGAAGATTACCTCACTTGCGACATCGCTTTCAATGCGGTTATGCCTCTAAGTCGTGCTTCGACACGTGGGAGATATAGCCGCATCGAGGGGTTACATGGGGCTGAAGGGGCAGGTGGCTCCATCCCGGTAGAGGTGGGCCTGGGTTCCCGACGGCCCCCGACTGTTACTTTATGGTGGAGCGACGGGGCAGGTTGAGACCACCTAGGAGAGAGGTGGGCCTTGGCCCTGGTCGGCGTTCGTGGTTACTTCAAGATAACACGTTTAACGAGATCTTGGTATTTGATCTGAGTCTGGCCACTGGCCTATACGCACTATCCAACTACGCGGGGACAGTTATGGGCACTCGACGTCGTGGTATCAGCCGAAGCCTTCGTGACGTCAGTGACTGAGCGGCGCGCACCGGGTTAGACTGGAACGCCTGCTCTTGTATAAGGGAGGCTAGGTCTGCTCACCGGCCGCGTACGCAACATGCAGGTGTGCAATGGGCGATGGGCCCAGACCCCTGTGCCATAGGATTTAGACCGGCGTGCTGACCTCTCTGTTGTGCCTAGGTAGGGCTGCGACGTGTTGATCTTCCGAGGCCGGGCATGACCCAAGAAAGTGTGTCCGGACAAAGGGGATCGAGCGTGTTGGGAAATGTGGTGCACCCCTGCAGGGAAGTTAATCTATTCGAATAGCCGTGATCTTCGGTAATAGGAGGACTTGGAGTTGTACCTTGACCTTATGACAACTAGAACCGGTTACTTAATAAAACACACCCTTCCAAGTGCCAGATACAACCCGGTGATCGCTCTCTACCAGGGCGACAAGGGGAGGATCACCGGGTAGGATTATGCTATGTGGTGCTACTTGGTGAACTTACTATCTACTCTCTTCTACATGCTGCAAGATGGAGATGGCCAGAAGCGTAGTCTTCGATAGGACTAGCTATCCCCATCTTACTCCGGCATTCTGCAGTTCAGTCCACATATGATACCCTTATTCCATTTGATACCAATGCATACATTTGTAGTGTAGCTCCTTACTTGCGAGTACTTTGGATGAGTACTCACGGTTGCTTTGCTCCCTCTTTTCCCAATTTCTATACCCGATTGCTGCGACCAGACGATGGAGCCCAGGAGCCAGACGCCACCGTCGACGACGACTCCTACTACGCTGGAGGTGCCTACTACTACGTGCAGGCCGCTGACGACGACCAGGAGTAGTTTAGGAGGATCCCAGGTAGGAGGCATGTGCCTCTTTCGATCTGTATCCCAGTTTGTGCTAGCCTTCTTAAGGAAAACTTGTTTAACTTATGTTTGTGCTCAGTTATTGTTGCTTCCGCTGATTCGTCTATGACCGAGCTCTTGTATTCGAGCCTTCGAGGCCCCTGGCTTGTAATATGATGCTTGTATGACTTATTTTTATTTGTAGAGTTGTGTTGTGATATCTTCCCGTGAGTCCCTAATCTTGATCGTACACGTTTGCATGTATGATTAGTGTACGATTGAATCGGGGGCGTCACAAATTTGTTATGAAGTTTTCAAAGTGATGGTCAAACGGTTAAAGAGTAAAGCATAAGACAAGCAAATTGGTTTGGGCGGGAATGAGTGTTTTAGGAAACTAGGGGTAAACCTGCTGAGTGTGACCCAACTAGGGGCATAAAACCAATTATCCCTAAAACAATGTTGGGGCAATCTCCACAACTCAATTGGAAGCTCCCATACCACCACGAAGTTCACCACGATGGATGTAGCTCCGAGATGATCTCTTTCATCTAGGGTGCTTAAGACCAAAGAGTAACAAGATTCAAATGAGAAAGTATTGGGGAATCAAATTTCTTCGGTGGAAGTGTAGACCTAGGTCTCCTCTCCCGATCCCTAACAAACCAACAAGTTTGATAGGATAGAGAGAGAGAGAGAGATCAGACAAGATAAAGCTTGGGCCAACAATGGAGGAGAGAGAGGCAAGAGACAGGTGGGAGGTGGAAGAAGCTCCTCCTTATATAACTCCCCCAAATCCAAATGTTATGTGCAGAAATTGTACTAAGTGGTAGTACTGCTCCAGAGAGTGGTACAACCACTATCCCTTAGGAAATCGCATAAATGTCAGGGAGGTAGTACTGCTCAGCAGAGTGATAGCACAGTGGTCTCCCTTAGGGTAGCATTGCAACACCTGGGTGGCACTAGCGCGTGGGTGTCCGGTAGTACCGGATACAATAATATAGTCAGTACTTCCAGACCACTGCCGCTCCAGTACTGCACCCTTCCCGAAGGGAAAATCCCTAGAGTGGTAGTAGGGTCGACACTTGGAGCGATAGTGTCGCTCCAATAGAAGAGCGGCACTACCGCTTTAGTATGCGATACTATCGACTGGGTATGCCAGCATAAGTATTGCTCCCACAGGGGAGCGGTGCTACCGCTATGCATAGCGGTACTACCGGGTGCACAATTTTCGCACTAAGTTGGACATGGGTTCTCTCCTCGAAATATTGGGAAAGTGATGTGGGTGCAATATAAATTTTGTGTACGTGCTTTGATTCCACCCCCTTCCAATGCAGACCCCCTCTTAATACTACGGATTTCTCACAACCAAAGAAATAAAAGCGTCAGAAACACTGTCTTCGATTTTTCCTTCCAGAGGGGAACCTAACTGACTTGTGCCATTAGAACATTCCTGTGTAGCTCAAGCACACGGTTAGTCCTAAAATTTTGTTGTCATCAACACGAAAACACTTAGGGAGGAAATGACCTTTCGCCCTTCGGAGCGAGGTTGACTCATGTAACACGGCTAGGCACGGCGGCAGACCATGGCGACCGCGCGGGTCGCACACTACACTGCAACCACGCGGTGGTGATGGAGAGGCTTGGTGGTGCTAGATATAACATTCCGCTATACGATGATATGGAGTGATGAAGGGAACAGAGCTAAATATATAGGAGCTAGAATAGCGGTGACGGTTTTACAATGAAACTGCCTCGAGTACTTCCGAACTATAGGGCAAAACTATTGCATATGGTTTCAAAGTTCCATCCGCTTCCGGCACAAAAATAACTGACTCCACTAATGTATTACATGCGGCTTTGTATCGCCCTGCCATAACTGCTTCTGGGGCTCGCCGCTAATGGTCGTTTTTCTACTAGCGGTACTCGGACTACATGCACCATTGTTGTTGCATACTTATTCCGAAAACGTTTTTTTGGATTCTGTAAGCTCTTTCTATTTTTGGAGGAACGATGTTAATCCTTGTCATGTTTTCTCTTTCATTGGTTGTCCTTGTCATCGAACTTGCTCATGTTTGACCTCTTATTGGAGAGAAGCCATTCTATTAAAAATGCTCAAGTTTGTGGCTCTCCCTGTAGGTTGTCCTTTAGTGGCTATTGACTCTCACATTCTCTTGCAAACCTCCTTGGGTGGTCCCTGCATTACTCACTAGAGTTCTTCGCTCCCCGAGCCCCGCAATACCGATAGCAGAGACCAATCCGACGAGCCCCCGCCCGTCCATCACCTTTGCCATGTTCATGCCTAATTGTCGACAGTGTGACAATTTTACAAACGACCGATGTATAAATGAGTGATGGGAAAGACAAAAGCAAAAGGGGATTGAGATTCTCCCACGTCTCTCCCTCCCCATCCCTCTCTCTATCTCAGGAGTCCCAACAAAAATCACCTACAATAGTGTAGATTATCTTATCCGCACGGTCTAATTCTAAGCGCCTGAGATGTGGGCACTCTAAAGTGCCCGGTGTAGAATTAGATTTTGCGACCATTTCATTACTTTTCTTTTTCTTTATCTTTACTTACTTAAAAAGAATGTAAGGTTTAATGTTTCACTTTTCTTCTCGCAATCCCTTCGTCCAACCTTTCTCGTATGATAATTAATTATCTTAATTTATTTGCCTTCCGAACCAATTTTACTTTAATTTACATACCAACCCTCGCACGGGCATGATTCGTTTAACATTTATTTTACACAATCACATTAATATGGGCAAATAAATCACAAGATAACATACTAAAAAATTTATAAGGAAATAATAAACCCTGAATGTTTGGATTTTAAGCATGTCAAACCGAACGCTTTTCATGGCAACTTTAGTTCACACGTTATTGGCAAACACGACAATTTTTTAACAAAAAAACGAATCGGGACAAAGTTGCCATGTCTTAATAACAAAAGTTGTCACCTTAAGTCAACTAAAATTGTCATGAAAAAAATGTTCGGAATGAAATGCTTAAAATCTGAACCGTTCGAAATTTATCGGGTTCTATTTATATCACATCGCAATGCATGGGCATTGTGCTAGTAGTTCTTATAAAAAAGAAAGCCAGGATTGCAAATTCTTGTTATTAACGTGAATCAACATTTTGGTTAGATGAGACTCGGGATTAACTTTTCATAACAATCTCATCGCATATCTCACTGAACCTTATCTAGTTGTTCAACATTTTTGTTACTCCTAGACGTGCGGTTTATTTAGATAGCCTTCTTCCGCATCCGCAGACTGAAAAGGCGCCAGATCCACCGCAACCTCCCCGTTTTCCCTCCAAAAAACATAGATGCGCGGCAAAAAGAGGGCATTGTCGCCGCCGGCCGCCGCCGTCGATGCCACGGCAAGGCTCCAGGACCGGCACCTCGCCGAGATCCTCCTGCGGCTCCCCTCCCCCGCTAGCCTCGCGCGCGCCGCCGTCGTCTGCCGGCGTTGGCGCCGAATCTCCGTCTCCGCGGCTTTCCTTCGCCAGTTCCGCCGCCTCCACCCGCCCCAACTCGTCGGCTTCTTTATCTGCAACGGCGGTTTCCATGTGGAGAGGGTCGGCGGCCGCCTCGTCGGCCACATACTCGACCCCACCTTCCTCCCGGTGCTCCCGCCGCCTCAGGGCGTCGGAAGGGCCACCCAGCGCTGCATCGACTTCTCCCTCCGTCGCGTCCCCGACGTGGACCACTGGACCCTCGCTGACGCCCGCGACGGCCTTCTCCTCCTCAGCTCCACCTTCAACGATCGCATGAGCATCCCGCGCAACTTCGTCGTCTGTGATCCCTTGTCCCGCCGCTCTTTCCTCGTGGAGCACGCGCCGACGTATCAGCTCGACGGCGAAAGCGCCTACCTCGGCGCCGCTCTGATCGTCGTGGACGGCGGAGCCAGCTCAAGTACCCTCTCCTTCGAGGTGATCCTCGTGACCTACTTCATGTTTGGGCCGCGCCTCTGCGTCTTCTCCTCGCGCACGGCGCAATGGAGCGTTCATCCCGAAGCCAGGTGCGGCAAGTCCCTGATGCCGATGCTGAGCGGGGTGGGCGACCCCGCGCACGCCAATGGCTGCGTGTACTGGGTAATGGACGACGAGAGCGAGGCGTACCTCCTGGTGCTCGACACGCGCACAAAGGAGTTCTCCACCACCATCAAGCTGCTCGCCAGCATGCGGGAGCAGTACGACGGGAACATGAGAGTCATGAGGAGCGAGGACGGGGAGCTCCGGATCGTGGGCATGGCTTGGAGGGCGCTCGCGCTCCATATCTGGCATCTCGATAGGTGCAGGAGCAGGAAAGGCCGATGGGTGAGGGAAGAGGTCCATGAATTGGCCACGTTCCAGGGTGTAATTGAGCTTTTTGTGGACGGCAATGGCGGCAGTACTAGGATCATGGATGCCTGCGAGGGGGTTGTTTTCCTCAAGCAGTTTGGCTCTGACTGGGTGTATGCTGTGAGTCTGGAGGACAGGAGGGTGGTGAAGCTGCCGCACAAGAGGTTCTCCTCTGGACCTGCACTTCCTTAACGGATGGCATTGTTCCCCCCCTTGCCGAATCAGGCCCAAGGTTAATTTCACATCAACTACTTGTTTTGCTTCTACTCAACTATGAACTACGTACATTCAACAACAAAAAAGGTAATGATGATCAGCGAACGTTCATTGGGAGGGATGACAATTGCAAACATTTCGATATCAACTTTAGTTGTCATGAGGATGACAATTTTAGTTTGCAAGCACGGCAATTTTCTGGCGAAAAACAAAACTGCAACGGAGTTTCCGTTGCCATGCTCACCGACTAGAATTGACATGCATGCCAACACAAATTGCGATCAAAATGATACGTAAATGCTATCCCTTCCAGCGAACGTTCACTGGCTGTTGGAGTCCAAAAAAAAACTACGCACTACATTCATAAACATTTTTATGGAGTACTATTTTGCGTAGTTATATTAAAAATTAATTGCAATGCTCAAACAGTTGTTCCTTCACAGAACTAGTACTCATATTATGTGTTCATTTCTTTGGGATTATTTTCTAAGAAAATGTCAAGGACTCAGAGTTGTACATTGAGAATTATTAAGGTCCTTCTAATTTATTTATTTATTTTGTAAAAGCCAGAAAATAAATGTATTTAGCGGCTCTACAATCTTGTTTGTTGTAAAAAAAATGCCTTACATGAGTCACTTGACAATCTGATTTGTAAGCTATGCTGGTTCTCTGGACATCAATATTGACTCCCAGAATTTTTGTCTATGGAACAATTTGTTCTACCAGTAACTAACAAAGGAGACTTATGGCTCTGCCTTCTACTCCCTCCGTTCCCAAATATAAGTCTTTCTAGAGATTCCAACAAGTGACTACATACGGAGCAAAATGAGTGTATCTACACTTTAAAATATGTCTAGATACATCCGTATGTTGTAGTCCATTTGAAATGTCTAAAAAGACTTATATTTAGGAACGGAGGGAGTATATCTGACGAATTTGACCAGTGCATAAACAAAGTGAAAGAGGTGGACTAGTAGAAAAAAATACACTGCCAAACTTTCTTTCTTTCAATATCCTTGCTATTTATTCTTTCAAATTAGCATTCTTTTGCGCATAATTCTACAAATGGTGCATCTATATGTATATTGTGATCCCAAATTATTTGACTATTATAATATCTTATTCATGTTTTAATACACACCACTTCTTGCTCATAGTAGCATTTCCATAAATTGAAGCACAGCAAATGGATAGCTTTATATCCTTTGCAATCTTTGCTCCAAGTTTTTTTTACAGCATAGTCTTCGCTCTGTCGCAGTTAGTAAATCTCAACCAGCTGTGATATTATTTCACTTGAGAGAAATTTTGTTGTGATGCCAAACCTACTCGTCCTTAGGATCATGTAACTTGTAAGCGAGCTTGCACCTAGCTGTGCTATTTTAAGCTTAGCATCACCTGTTCTATCCTCAGTTAGGATGCATGTTTGGCTTTTCATGGACAATTTCCTTAGCCACATGCACATGATTCCAATTTAATGCACTGCTTGTTTGATTTTTCAGGCCAAGATGGATAAGCTTCTACTGGATCATGGATGAAGTTGACGCTGCGTCATACTTATGCCTACTATCATCACGCAGAATGATTAAGTACACGGAAAAGAAACAACAACTTGTATTCAGGGCCAAAAAAAGCATCAAACTAGTATGATACTTTATTCTTGTTCAAAATAGCTGAACTTACTACCAAGCTGTAGGAGGCATACGGTGCAAGATTTGTCGCTAGAACTTTTGTTCAGGTGGTAATCTTGTGGATCGACTGCCATTTTACATGTTTCAAAATGTATGAACCCCATACTTTTTATCTATTGTTTCTGAATGTCAAGATCACGTGGATCATCTTCATAGAATTGTTCACCATGTTATCTGAACTCCACGTGGTAGCACATGAATGAGCCATTTGCATCCATCATGCCCACAAGGCCTGCTTCTGACTACTTTAACTTCCCTAGGACATCTGGTATCCCCTATATTTACAAAGCACTTGGAGTTTGGAAATATTTCATGTTCGAGCTCACTCTGCATCAGTTAGTGATGCACGCCAAAAGGTTAAAGCCATCTAGTACCCTATCCTCATCTAGTGTCTCTAGTATTCCTTTCAAACTTTTATTGTCACAGTATGGGGGCTGAGCACAATTTGTTGGTCACGGTAAATTATGTGGACGTTCCAAAGATAAATCTGTTGTCTTCCAAACTTTTCACAGTTTTCAGCATCATATTTCTTGATGTTTTAAAAAAGCATTTCCACTATGCAAATGGACAGGGGAGGTGGGTAATGATTAATTCTTCTTTTTCAGCAACTGTCGTTTCACATCTCGTGTCTTGTCCTTGTGGACACATATAATGGTTCGGCCGAGATCAGACATCACTACATAGTAGTATATCACTATATCTTGTTAATGTAGCTCACATTGGCATTGTGAGCCTAGCTCATTTGGTTGAGAAGTGACTGTACAATCTCAATGCTCAGTTTCATGTCCTTATGGATGTGAAATTGGGATCTTGCCTTTTCCCCCCAAAAAATTCCCTGATGAAGCAATGAAATTTTCCGGTGGCTCAAAGGGGCATGTTCTCCCTATCAATGCAACCAGATACTGTTGATGCCTATCGATGCTAGGAACCAACCCTACCCTCGGAATTTTGATCTAATCGTCATATAAAATTGACATGTTCTAGATCGCAAAAATATTTTCATTTTAGAGAACAAAGATGAGAGGTGTAGCAAGTTCTGAACCCAAACATTAGCCGATAAGAACACAAACTGAGGCAATTACTCATCTCAAGTATGACATGAAAGCAGCACGCTGTACGACACTTGAAAATATTATTTCGCATAAAAACACCTTATTAATATTGTTTCAAATGTTGTTGTTACATTCAAAGGGTGCAATCCCCGGAACCACCCCAATTTGCATGTACTCCACCGTCTTGGTCTGATTTGTGAGCAACCGAGTAGCACTTCGGATTTTCTACGGCCACGTCAAACTCGCGAGACATTGGAGTCACGAGCTGGTGATCTCTTGTCACAATTTTGATGTTCTTCACATAGGCTGCTGTACCATCTCCCTCTGAAGCAGGGTGTCCGCTACCCATGGGTGGTGGCTTATATTTAATTGTAGGACCTTCAACCAAACCACCCCAGTAGCCAACAGTACCCTTCGATTTCAGGTAACCGAAGAGTTCACCTGGCCAATATCCGACTACAGTGCCCTCCTTGCCGAATTTTACCCACCAGTTTGAATTTGTATCCTAACAAACAAAAAGTTCCAACCCGAGAAGTTAAACAAAAAGAACATATGAAAGTACATACAGAAGCATATATACAAATAAAGCTCATTAATGTTGAAGAGCGGGTGACAAAAGTATTGGTACTGAAGATGTTTATATGAATCAAGATGAATCGACATTAACCGCCGTTAATATATATTAGAATTGTCTCCGAGAATGTTGGGGCAAGAAAATCCTTACTATGAGCCATTATAAAAAAGTTTGGATTTTAAAATTATTTCACATTTCCCTCAGTAAATTGAGCTTTATAAAACACAACATGCCATAAAAACCATGTAATTGCACAACCGAACTGTAAAACATGTAACTTTCCTAGTCCCGGCGGTAAATCTAAGTTAAGAATTATGCCATGGAAAAATAAATGATTCTAGGAACTTTCCTTTTTGGTGAGAAGATAATAAGATAATTTGTAGTTGTAGTATTATTTTTTCGTCAATGTAGTGTGAACTATTAACCTCTCTCTCTCACTCTCTCTCTCTCTCACACACTCTCTCTCTCTCTCTCTCTCTGTGTGTGTGTGTGTGCGCGCGCGCGCGTGTGTAAATTATGTTTCTAACATTTTGTAAATAAAAAATACAAAAGAAGATGCATGGCAAGCCCAATTATTCATAATACGTCAATCTCTCATCGATTCCATGTTCACCCTGCCATATCACAGTTTTATGAAAACATGTGCGTTAAGCCTTTTAGTTTTATGCAAAACCCACCATTACAACATTAGAGATTTCTTGATAATGTACAGAGGTAGCTACCTGAAAGTGGACGACCATGGGGAACACTGGTGTCCACGAGCCATAGTTGACATGCAAACTAGAGAATATATAATTTATTTAGGGTGTGATTTGTGAAATCAGTAATTATATTGGCACACGTCACTGCCTAACCCTAGGTTTTGTTGATGGTCTTGACCGTAAAATCAAGGTCTTTCAATATTTCCAAAATTTTAATTATTAAATAACACTCTAACCCAAGCGATGAGAGAAACTCCACAAAAATATCAAGCAAAGGAAATAAAAATAATATTAAAAAATGAAAGATAAAATAAAAAGACTGCTAAGCACTAATCTTTTGTTAGTTGTTACCAAATACACAATTGAAAAAAAATCATGGTAGGTTGTTTATACTGTGCGTAAAAGTAATACCTGATAAACAAACGTGTTCATATGAGCTTGTGGCCCATCGTACTTCGAGATTGGCGATAATTTCCCCCCTAAAGGTATATTTGGACTCGTATGTATAAATCCAGGGCATTTTAGATCAAAGCATTGTTTTTGTCCATTGTCCTATAGAGCGAAATCATGTAAGTTTCCATAACATTTATCAGAATTCTGACATACATAATTAAACTTACTGCTTACATAGAAAATATGAAATCTAGCAGCCTTGTCACCTCCGTTACTTTGCCAAACCTAAAACAAAATAGAAAATATCAATTGTGATGTAGAATTTATCTTGCCAAACTTAGAACAAAATAGAGACCATGAGTTGTCATGTGGAATGTATCTCAAACAAGCAGAGAAGCTCGTATTTTACTAAAAGGCACACATGCGCAAACATACCAGTGTGTCACGTGATGGATTACCAACATGGCATACATACTATAAAATGTATAACGTCCTTACTATAGAACTTAAGAAGAGGGATATAGTTTGCATGCATGTATACAACAATTTGATGGGGGGACAATGCGCA